CCCACCCAGACATACACCACTACTATTACTCATGACAAGACATAGGCTTCTTTGTTAATGTGTCAAGGAACACCAACAGTTTCTGTTGCCTCAGCAAAGCATGCCAAAAACATCACATTACACACATCCTCAACACACTGTGAGAGCATTGTCACTGTGAACACAAATAGGAGACACTCTGCTGCATGCATGATTTGGCCTGAATGCTTATATATGGTCTCATTTCAGTAGCTAATTGCAAACTTGACTCACCAGAAAACCAAATTAGCTCATTTATAGCTTCATACAATATAAGCATACAACAGAGCAATTCTTTATTTTTCTGCAGCAAGAAACTACTGGTGTGTTCTCATTTTCTTACCTGCTACACAGACATTCATGCATACAAACTTACTAGACTTTTTCCTAATTTTTCACAAGAGATGAAATTAAACAACATTATGTGTTCAGTCTGACTCCGCCCATTAAAGGGACGGTTCACCTAAAAATTGTGTCATTATTTACTCACCCCCATGTTTTTTTTTTTTCTTCTGTGGAACAAAAAAGACGATTTTTCGATATGAACAAAATCTTATATCGGGAGTTATTTTTGCTGGAAATAAGGTTGCAACAAGCGGCTGTTATTAAAACAAAAGTTATTCATTTAAGATCAGTGAGTGATTTTCTGCTTTTCCATTCTTGTTTGATTAACATTAAGGACACAGACAGCAGCAGGTATATTAGGCTGCTATCACTAAGACCTAACGCACGGATTTAATATATCTGGACCCCATTGACTTTCATCGTATAAACAGTAGAAACATTCTTCAAAATACCTCTTTTGTGTTCTTCAGAAGAACGAAAGTCATACAGAACTGGAAACAACATGAGGTTGAGTAAATGATAGCATTTTCATTTGTGGGTCAAGTATCCCTTAAATAAGATGAAACTTGCCCTGGGTCTATTAACGTGCATGTTCACTATTTCCATATTACTGTGTGCGACTTTTTATTACAAAATATAATTTCCAGCATCACACTATAATTGCTTTGGTCTAATTACGTTACTCTCCATTCCAGGAGTGAACACAAAGCACTCACTGTCTATGGTAAAACAACCCAGTGTATGAGAGGAAGTGAGGCACACGGTGAGAAAAAAGCAGGTGGAGGAGTGATACAAAATGAAATGGTGTGCATTCCTTCAAAAGAAAGAGTCAGTAGCTATAACCGATAGTTCCAGCAATCAACTATCGGTGCCGATTAATCGGCAAAACCGATACATCGGTCGACCTCTAGTATGATAACCTTAAGCAAAAATATCACGGTTTTACGGTATTGTTGTTACAGCTCTAAAACGTATTATTTTTAAATGTCTGGGTAAAAAATAAAAAATAAATAAAATACAATATTTTATTTTTAGAAAAATAAAGACTGACGTATTTATTTAACCTAAATCTGTAATCACAGTTATTTAATTTTAGTTATATAATATAGATATAATTTATATAAGTTCATATCATTTATTTATATAATTTCATATACATAATTTGATTTAATAATAACCCAATTTGTAGCAAAACAATGTTCTGACTAGCTTTATGAAATTATACTACATGCCTGAACGAAACAAACGGCAGAAGCTCTGAATAGGGCCTTTCGCACCGCAGGAACCTTTTCATACCAGAACTAATTGTGGAACTACCCACTTTTTGGCGTTTTCGCACCGCCGGAACTGGGAGCGATTTTAGTACCGGACTGCCTTTTTCGAGAACCAAATTAGCTCCTA